CTTAACAACCAATACATAAGCTTGACAATTAACAGCTTACCTTAACAACAGGGTGCTAACCCTATTAGTAACCAATCCATAAGCTTGACAACCAATCCACGATCTTAACAACAAAACCATAAGCTTATCAATTCACTCCGTGATCTTCTCAACCAATAAGCTATACAGTAGAGCTAAACGTTACAACAAGGAGCTAATGTTAGCTACGATTCCACAAGTTCAACAACAGATAGCTAACCTTAGCAACCAATACATAAGCTTGACAACAGAGCGCTAACTTTAACAACCAATCAATAAGCCTGACAACAGGTCGTCAACCTTAGCAACCAATCCATAAAATTAACAACCAATAAATAACCATGTCAGTCAGTCCTTTAACAACATAACAATAAGCTCAACAATACAACAATGTATCCTGACACGTCCTTTACAAGCTTGCTTACACCCCTACCAAAAAAAAAGCTTAACCGCCACGCAGTGATATTAACAAAACACTGAACTTTGTATTTGACAACCTTATATCAGCCACGTCCTTCTTTACCGTCATTCTTAACATAGAAAAAATAAGCTTATCAACAATCCCGTGATCTTCTCAACAATTCCCTAAGTTCAACAAATCAATGAGGTCTGCTACAATCTTAACAACCAATAAATAAGCCTAACAACAGAGCTAAACGCAACAACAGAGGGCTAACCATGAGCTTGGCAACAGAGCGCTAACCATAGCAACCAATAAATAATCTTGTAAATACAACGCCAAACTTCACAATAAACACGTAAACTTAACAACCAATCAATAACCTTAACAGCGAGTCCATAATATTTCTTGATAAATCGTTAAACTTAAAAAAACAATATGTATCCAAAAATAATTTCCTTTACAATCATGCTACAACCTTAAAACAAACAAATAAGCCTATCAACAACCCCGTAAACTCAACAAATAAGCTTGAATACACGATGACTACAACATGTATTACCATTGTCTCTACTATATGTCCCATAACCGTGGGTGAATATAACTAGCTCCATTTAATGAACTTGTTCAATAACAAGATAGTTAAGATTCATAGGTGTGTGGAATATGATCAATTCAGATGGATCAATGTGTGAATCACCTAGGAAGGCATGCGAAAGCTGTTGTAGATAGTCTTCTGGCTTACGGTTACACTGTATAGCTATACAGTGTTAACATAAGCCAGAGGACTATCTCCACCAGCATTCGCGTGCCTTCCCATGTGATTCACGCATGACCCATCTGAATTGATCATATGCCACGCACCTATGAATCTTAACTATCTTGTTATTGAACAAGTTCATTAAAGGGATCCACATGCATTCACCCACAGCTAATGGAACTAAGAGCAAACACATAAGGGGATAACGTCTTCATCAGCGTGAGGGATACCCAAGATCTTCATCAGTGTGCGCAAACCTCGTCTCCATGGCCTTCATCGGCGTGAGGACTAGCGTTGATCTTCTGGTTTTAATGGCGAAAGGAGAACTTGAAAGGTTTTGGGGAGAGGGTAGCTTTTTGTTCAGATTATATGATAGAGAGTCAACAGAGAATAAATGATGGGGAGATCGAGGAAAGATTGCGCCGAAAAGAATATCTGCGCTATCCTGTAGCTGAACAGGCGAAGGGATGGTGGTGTTGCCGCGTGGAATGTGGGGATAGGTAGGTGTCCAGGTTATATTAACTCTCCTCCTTGGGAACTAGGAGGAACATTGAATGCAGTAGCAGAGAATATACCCCGGTGACCGTGACAAACAAGCGCAAGTGAATAACAGTAAGGGACCTTAACAACAGGACGCTAACCTTAGCAACCAATACATAAGCTTAATAAAAGAGCGCTAACCTTATCAACCAATCCCTAAGCTTGACAACAGGGCTCTAACCTTAGCAACCAGTCCAATCCATGATCTTTAATAACAAAACCATAACATCAACAATACAACCCCGTGATCTTCTTAACCCATACGCCTAACAACAGAGCTAAGCGTTACAACAAGGAGCTAATGTTAGCTACCATTCCATAAGTTTAACAACAGAGAGCTAACCTTAACAACCAATACATAAGCTTGACAACAGAGCACTAACCTTAACAACAGGGCTCTAACCTTAGCAACCAGTCCATAAGCTTGACAACCAGCACATAACCTTGAAAGCCAATCCATGATCTTTAATAACAAAACCATAACATCAACAATACGACCCCGTGATCTTCTTAATCCATAAGCCTAACAACAGAGCTAAGCGTTACAACAAGGAGCTAATGTTAGCTACCATTCCATAAGTTTAACAACAGAGAGCTAACCTTAACAACCAATACATAAGCTTGACAACAGAGCACTAATCTTAACAATAGGGCGCTAATCTTAACAACCAATCCATAAGCATGACAATCAGCACATAACCTTGACAGCCAATCCATGATCTTTAATAACAAAACCATAACATCAACAATACAACCCCGTGATCTTCTTAATCCATAAGCCTAACAACAGAGCTAAGCGTTACAACAAGGAGCTAATGTTAGCTACCATTCCATAAGTTTAACAACAGAGAGCTAACCTTAACAACCAATACATAAGCTTGACAACAGAGCACTAATCTTAACAATAGGGCGCTAATCTTAACAACCAATCCATAAGCATGACAATCAGCACATAACCTTGACAGCCAATCCATGATCTTTAATAACAAAACCATAAGATCAACAATACAACCCCGTGATCTTCTTAATCCATAAGTCTAACAACAGAGCTAAGCGTTATAACAAGGAGCTAATGTTAGCTACCATTCCATAAATTTAACAACAGAGAGCTAACCTTAACAACCAACATATAAGCTTGACAACAGAGCACTAACCTTAACAACAGGGCGCTAACCTTAACAACCAATCCATAAGCTTGACAACAGAGCACTAACCTTAACATCCAGTCCATGATCTTAACAACAAAACCATAAGCTCAATAATACAACCATATATTTTGCCACGATTTTCTTTACAATCTTGCTTACAACCTTAACAATGAAAAAATAGCTTAACAGCCACGCCGTGATCTTAACAAAGAAAAAATAAGCCTATCAACAACCCCGTGATCTTCTCAACAATTCCCTAAGTTCAACAAAACAATGAGGACTGCTACATCCTTAACAACCAATAAATAAGCCTAACAACAGAGCTAAACGCAACAACAAGGGGTCGTCCTTAGCAACCATCACATAAACTTGGCAACAGAGCGCTAACCATAGCAACCAATAAATAAGCTTGAAAATACAACGCCAAACTTCACAATAAACACGTAAACTTAACAACCAGTCAATAACCTTAACAGCGAGTCCATAATATTTCTTGATAAATCGTTAAACTTAACAAAACAACATGTATCCAAAAATAATTTCCTTTACAATCATGCTACAACCTTAAAACAAACAAATAAGCCTATCAACAACCCCGTAAACTCAACAAATAAGCTTGAATACACGATGACTACAGCATGTATTACCATTGTCTCTACTCTACGTCCCATAACCGTGGGTGAATATAACTGGCTACCTTCAATGAACTTGTTCAATAACAAGATAGTTAAGATTCATAGGTGCGTGGAATACAATAAATTCAGATGGATCAATGCGTCAATCACCTAGGAAGGCATGCTAATGCTGTTGGAGATAGTCTTCTGGCTTACGGTTACACTGTATAGCTATACAGTGTTAACGTAAGCCAGAGGACTATCTCCACCAGTATTCGCATGCCTTCCCATGTGATTCACGCATGACCCATCTGAATTGATTGTATTCCACGCACCTATCAATCTTAACTATCTTTTTATTGTACAAGCTCATTGAAAAGAGCCACATGCATTCACCCACAGCTAATGGAACTAAGAGCAAACACATAAGGGGATAACGCCTTCATCAGCGTGAGGGATACCCAAGATCTTCATCAGTGTGCACAAACCTCGTCGCCATGGCCTTCATCGGCGTGAGGACTAGCGTTGATCTTCTGGTTTTAATGGCGAAAGGAGAACTTGAAGGTTTTGGGGAGAGGGTAGCTTTTTTTCCAGATTAAATATAGAGGGTCAACAGAGAATAAATGGGAGGGGAGATCGAGGAAAGATTGTGCCGAAAGGAGGTCTGCGCTATCCTGTAGCTGAACAGGCGAAGGGATGGTGGTGTTGCCGCGTGGAATGTGGGGATAAGTAGGTGTTCAGGTTATATTAACTCTCCTCCTTGGGAACTAGGAGGAACATTGAATGCAGTAGCAGAGAATATACGCCGGTGACCGTGACAACCAAACACTGCTGAATAACAGAGAGCTGACTTTAACAACCAATACATAACCTTAACAACAGAGCTATAACCTTATCAACAGGGCGCTAAACTTAACAACCAATCCATAACCTTAACATTTGTAACGATGAAATGCATTGAATGCAGTCAAATCAAAAAAATCTCGGTACCCTTGACAGCCAATTGCAAGTGAATAATAGTAACCTTAACAACAAACAAATAAAACTGACAACCAAGTAATAACCTTAACAACCAAGCCAAAACTTCAACATTAAAGTGATAAAATTGAAAACCAAGTAATAACCTTAACAGCCAAGCCATAAAACTTAACAATTTTAACGATATACTTGACAAATTTATTTAATGATCGGTGATACTGACAACAAAGAGCAGGTGGATAGCCGGTGTATACAATAAACTTTACATTCAATCGATAAACATAACAATCAATCAAAAACTTGAACATTAAAGTGATAAAATTGACAACCAAAACAATAATCTTAACAACCAAGTCAAAACTTCAACATTAAAGTGATAAACTTGACAACCAAGTAATAACCTTAACAACCAAGTCAAAACGTCAACATTAAAGTGATAAACTTGACAACCAAGTAATAACCTTAACAACCAAGCTATAACCTTCTCACTTGTAGTGATATACAGGACAACAAATCCATATACATGACAATAAAACGCTAAACTATATAGGCTCGTTACAGCTTGCACGATTGCGACCCTCCATGTTGCATCGAGAGCACTTAACCGGTCGGGTGTTCAGCGACCTGTTGTTTATTCGTCTAGTGCATGGTCTACCACGTCTTTTTTTGGTGAGAGGAGGCTTCAACACTCGATCTTCTGGCGGTACAAAGCGCTTCTCATAATCTGGGATGGGATAGATGATCGGTGCATAGCTTTCTCTGAATGCGTCAACAGTCATGTACCAATCGCAATATTGATAAATTTCTCGTCCCATCCATGAAATTGCAGCGTACGTATGTTTGCAGGGAATACGGGTGATGTCCCAGGACCTGCAAGAACAAGTCCGATTCTTCAAATCTACGCGGCAAGTTTTATTGGACTCGACCTCCACAATATCTTCCGTCGAATGTTTAATCGCCAAGCAGCTACCATGCTGAATGTTATCACTCAGCACCAACTCCGCTTCCGGGCATAGGTATCCAGACCATTTCTGACCCAATAGCCTCCTTTCATGCATGCGCTCCATTATTTGCTTCCGTATGGTCTCAACCAAAGGTAAGATTCGCAACAATCGTGCCTTTCTTATCCAGCTGTTGAAGGACTCAGCAACGTTTGAAGTAACATGGCCATACCTTAACAACAAAGCACTAACAATAACAATAATTCCTTAAACTAAACATTAAAGGCCTAACCTTAACAACAAATATCCTAAACTTAACAGCAAAACCCTAGCAGAATAACTCTAACCATAACAATAAAAATCTAACCTTAACAGAAAACTGTAGGATAACTCTAACCTTAACAACTATAACAGTGCTGTAACAAAATAACGTCGGGACCAAGCTATCTTACCTTATACCAGGAAAATGCACGTTTGCCCATCTCTCCGGGGAGTATTCCATTACAGTGACGTAAGCCCTATGATCGATCGCTGCCAATTCTTTTATATCATTATCCCATTCAGATATTGTGAACTTATAAGCCGCAGATTGTAATAGCTCGCCCAACGTAGTCGCGACATTTGCCTTGTGCCCAAAATCCTTCATCTTCTTTTTGAAATTCTCGACTAGATGCAGAACACACCTTGAATGGAATGCATCTGGAAAGAATTCCTCGACTGCTGCCCTGATACCCTTGTCGGCGTCTGAAATCATTACCAGTAGATGTGGAGGTTGGTAAGGATTTTCCCTATCATACAGTAACGTCCATAATCCTTGTAAGAACCATTTCCAGTTAACCTCATTCTCTTGGTCGCATACGCAATAAGCTAGGGGAAATATTCCCTGGTTGCCGTCATACCCAGTAGCGCTAAGTAGTATGCCTCTGTAACGATCTTTAATAAATGTTCCATCCAAAAATAATAGAGGCCTACACCCAGCAATGAACCCTTCAATACAGACATTATAACTAATGAACAGTCGCTTGAACCTCCCGTCATCAGCATCAATAACAACACGACTCCCTGGATTAGTTGCATGCACCATGGATTCATACCTGCATGAATATAACAACAAAGCAGTACATTTAGCGAAGGATTCATAACCATAACAAATGATCTTCAAACTTCACGACCAACACGTATACTTAACGACGAACCAATAACTTTAACAACTAATACGTATAGTTAGCAACCAAAACGTAAGCAGTAGATTTAGCAAAGGATTCATAACCATAACAACTGATCTTCAAACTTCACAACCAACACGTACACTTAGCGACGAACCAATAACTTTAACAACTAATACGTATAGTTAGCAACAAAAACGTAAGCAGTAGAATTAGCAACGGATTCATAACCATAATAACTGATCGTTCTTGATATCGACCGCACGAAGATCTGGCCTAACCTTCAAAACAGCTTGTATTTGGCTAGCAATGAACTTCCTTGATGCCCTTGAGTTGCCAGCATTTGCTCCATGTTGACCGCAGGTGTGGGTAGACTCGAAATTCTTTATGGACATGATAGACGAATTTCTGAGCGGGGAAGCAAACAACATCCAAGGGCAACCATGTGTGTGTTTGAATCGGCAATAGACTCGTATGCGTCTTTATTCATTGTGGTAAAAATCATACTCGAACCGTTTAGCAATTGAATAGTATTGAAGTGCTAATCTAACTTCAGCAGCACTATCAAATTTCTGACCAACTTCACGTATGGAGGTGTGCCACTCAGTTGGGATCTTTGTTTGGTGATTAAGCATGTCTTCCAGCAGCATGATCGAGTCGCCGGTGGGGTTGTCATTAGGAATACGCTCATCATTACAGGTTTGGGTGAACGGGGTATCTGCGCACCGCGAATTTTCTGTCGGTATTGTCCTGAAGTATAAATCAAAATACATAGCCTTAGCAACGAACTGATAACCTTAACAACGAACTCATAAACGTAACAACCTACACATATCCTTAACAACTAACCCTTATACTTAAGGGCAGACTCGTGACCTTAACAACAAACGCATATACTTAACATCAAACACCATAACTTAGCAACCAACTAGTATACGTAACAGCCAACAAATAACTTTAACAACCAGTGCTTAACATAACCTTGACAGCCAACACATTACCAAAGCAACCAATGCATGAGGTTAACAACTAATGGCAAAACCTATCAGTGAACTCAAAAGGAAATCTGGAGTGTAATTCCTACGCAGTTTCCGGCGTAGTCTGCGTGTTCTGCGAAGTTAAGGATTCCGCAGCGGAGGTGGCATACAAATTCGCGTCTGTAAATCTATTACGCCGATAATACTCGAACATCAAATTTAAGTCGTCGTCATTGTCAATTGAAATGCTGAATTTCCTTTCCCTTTCGCATATGAACTTCAGTGAAAGAGATTGCATTGGTATATTAAGCCTTTCCGCCACTCGATATCTCAAGCTGATTATTTCTGTATTCTCTTTGATAACGACGAATACACCGTCACCACCTTTGTTGCTTTTTGCCTTCGTTACCACGCATAGAAGAGATCCATCCGCTATTTTATTACAGGGAGTGGTTGAAGAATTGAAGAGGCTTTTATTGAGGAGAATTAAGTGGAAGGAACAACTTAGCTTGAAGGGGAATATAGCTGGTGATAATATCTGATGATAATTTTAGAGGGAAATGGGAATTTTCCCCCCGAAAAAAGTCATTCTAATCACCATTTAATGCCTACAGTCGAAACGATGGGTTTCCGTCGTGAGAGGGCGACGAACACAGGCTGCGAAGGGTATTTTGGGCATTTCGAGCGGGGTTTAAACGGAGTTAGGCCTGGGGATTCGTTTTGGGGGCTGGAAGAAAATCGGGGGCGGTTTTGGGGGTAAAAGGCACGTTGAAAAAGTCTTGGGGGGGCAGAGCCCGTTTTGGGTTGTTTTGGGGGCTGGAAGCAATTTTCCCTTAAATAAATCAAAGTTTGAAGTTTCATATAAAAAAAGGTTACTTGTGTTTGGGCGCGGACTAGACATGTAGGAAGGATAAGATGGGGAAAGATTAAATGAGAGGCATTCTACCTAGGGGTGCACTCGGTCTGGATACGGCTTGGATATGATGCTTACCATATCCATATCCACTTACCCATCTCGGATAAGGATACTGATATACCTTGGTAAAGAAAATTCATAACCATATCCGCTAAAATCAGATATGGTTACGGATATACATGCGGATATATGAGCGGATATGCATGCGGATACAAAACGGATATGAGAAAACTAGATAGCATGGAGAAAAACATAGTTCATGTGATACAAAAGAGTTCGTTAATATGTTCATTATAATTGAAAAGTTAAGATTAGACATCCTGATCATCAAAATTAATCATAAGTCCATAATCTAAGAATCGAAACTATCGTAAGAGTATGACTAATATGTATTCAGATATTTCGGATACGGATACAGATATTTCACTACAAAACCATATCCGTAACCATATCCTATCGGTTATATATTTGAGTAATCATATCTGTATCCTAATGGATACGGTTACGGATATTTCCTCGGATACTGATACGGTTTAACACCCCTAATTCTACCTCAAAAGTTAATGAGGTACAAAAGAGTAAATTTTTAATATTTTAGGGGTTGTATGGTCATTTTATACCGGTTGCATCGTATTTTTCCATTAGACTTAACACTGTTAGATTAGGGAGATAAGTGAGAAAAAACTAAGGGGTTTAAATCGTATTTTCTAAATTTGAGGGTTTTTTATAGAGTTACAATAATTAAGGGTTTCTTAGATAAGTGGTTTTGCTAAACTGGGGTGGGGTTGGGGGGGTTGGTTTTGCTAAACTTAACCCCTGTACTATAGGACTGATTAGTCAACTAGTAAACCATTTACCTTAATCATCTTTACTATTTCTGAGTATTTTTTCTATGTGTTTCACGTCTCAACGACCATATGAACCTCACATCAACGAAAAAAGAATCAAGAAGGTTTCTTTTTACAAAAAATAAATAAATTTAAAATAGAAAATCCAGCTCCATCCAGCATGAGTGTGTGCACAAAGTCCAAAAGAGCAAAAGTCGTGGCATCCATGTTATGTTAAATCTACTTCTTCTGCTGCCGCCCCACGAAACTCCACTCCAATCTTGAATCTTGTTTCATTTCAAGTTGCTTGGTTGTATTGTATATATCTTCATTGTTGGCACGCATGCATCTTGCATGTGAGTGGATGCTCACCGTAGGGACCCCTTCACGTGCACACTTGGTCTCAACTCAACAATGGATAAGCTCTAGTACCACTTTTATTCATTCGTACCCTTGTCAGATATTTTTTCCCCTCCTCATTTCAATTCAGTTACTTTTGGGTAATTGATCTTAGGGAAAAATGGGTCCAGGTAGGGGTGTCCAAAAAGCCCGGAGCCCGGACCCGGCCCGGTGTCCGGCCCGGGCCCGGGCCCGGAAACCCGGGCAAAACCCGGGTCCGGGCTCTTCATTGTTGGCACGCATGCATCTTGCATGTGAGTGGATGCTCACCGTAGGGACCCCTTCACGTGCACACTTGGTCTCAACTCAACAATGGATAAGCTCTAGTACCACTTTTATTCATTCGTACCCTTGTCAGATATTTTTTCCCCTCCTCATTTCAATTCAGTTACTTTTGGGTAATTGATCTTAGGGAAAAATGGGTCCAGGTAGGGGTGTCCAAAAAGCCCGGAGCCCGGACCCGGCCCGGTGTCCGGCCCGGGCCCGGCCCGGTCGTGCCCGGGCCCGGGCCCCACCAAGGATGAACACGGTAGGATCATCTCTCAGAATGCGAAATGTGCGTTGTGCGGCCAGATATTCAAAGCTCATCATAAGAGCGGCACCAACCATCTCAAACGGCATATTGAAAAACACAACAAAGGCCAAAATCTACAAGGTGATATCCGGCAGTCTATGCTTTCCCAATCATCCTCTTCAGGTACCCTCGGCAGTTGGAATTATGACGCTGCCCGAGCCCGGAAATGCGTAATCAGGTTTATTGTTCTTAAAAACCTTCCTTTTAAATTAGTAGAAGATGATGAATTTGAAGATTTATTTAGAGATGGTTTTTATCCTGCATTTACAAAATTTTCTCGTCAAACCTGTCAACGTGATATTTTAAAATATTATGTTGAGGAACAGGGAAAAATAATTTCTTATTTTAAAAATTTAAACTGCAAATTTTCTTTAACTTCTGATATTTGGTCATCTAGAGTGCAAACTGGTTATTTATGTATAACAGCACACTGGATTGATGAAAGTTGGAAAATGTTTAAAAGAGTTGTTTCTTTTATTGCAATTGAAGAGTCACACACTGGTATTAATGTTGCAAATTTAATTGTTGAAGAACTTATGAAACTAGAAATTGATCAAAGAATATTTACTCTTTCACTAGATAATGCAAGTAATAATAATGTAGCTGTTGATTTTCTGAAAATAACTTTGTCATTGCCATGTCATGGTGAGCTTTTTCATGTTAGATGTATCTGTCATATTTTAAATTTAATTGTTCAAAGTGCATTTTCTGAAATTAAACCCATGATAGAAAAAGTTAGAACAGTTACTAATATGCATAATGCTTCTGAAATGAGAATTAAAAGATGGAAACAATGTTGTAAAAGAAAAAATTATAAGCCTAGACTAATTCCAAAAGATGTTGACCATAGGTGGAATTCCACCTATGCAATGTTATCTGTAGCAATAGAATATAAAGAAATTATAAATGATTTTATAAATTTTTATGCTTCTAGTTCTAGCTCTGGTAGTGCTTATGGAATAACTGAAGATGAATGGACAGTTATATGTAAATTAAATGAGATGTTACAAGTTTTTTATGATGCTACTATGTTATTATCTGGTTGTTATTATCCAACTATTACTTTAGCTGCTTTACAAATTTTAAATATTCAAAAAAATTTTACAAAATATCGTATGGATGATATTTTTGGAAGTATAATTTTTGAAATGGAGAGTAAATTTAATAAGTATTTTAGGCCTATTCCTCATATTTTTGGTATTGGTGTTCTTATTGATCCATGCTTGAAGGAAATTGGCCTTCGAAGTTTGTTACAATCATTGTATGGTGGACAGATTATAGACTTAGATGATGGATCCACCCTTACTGCTACTACTCATTATTTAGCTATTAGAAATTATTTTCAAACCTTATATGATGAGTATGCAGCTAGATATGGTGTAGCTACACAACAGTCTTCAGCTTCGGCACCTTCAGCTTCGAGCACAGGTCGAGGTAAAAGTGTAAGTTTTGATAGGTATGCAATGGTAGCTGAACTAACTGGTGGATCTGGAACTTCATCAGGATTAGATGTTTCTGAAATAGATGAATATTTTTCTGCTTCTTTAGTTAGATGTCAAGGAAATGCTTTAGATATTTTGCAATGGTGGAAAGTATATGGATCAGTTTCATATCCTATACTTTCCACCATGGTTCGTGACTTACTATCAGTGCAGGTTTCGACTGTAGCCTCGGAATCCGCTTTCAGCACAGCAGGACGTTTGATCGACGACCACAGGACATGCTTAGATCCGTATACTGTACAAGCGGTGATGTGCTTACAGGATTGGTGGAGATACGAGAAGCGAACACAAGGCATCGAACGGATTGCTATGATTGAAGATAAATTTGAAGAGTTGGGACTAGCAGATAGATATAATGATTAGATAATATTCATAAAATTGTAATTTTTATTTCTTAGCTTTAAATTTGAATTAAATTATTTCGAAAAAAGTTGCAAATGATAGTGATATGGGTG